TTTTCTGAAAATGCATATAACCCTATATGACACAAGTCCTGTAAAAACAACATACATGTCTGTCCCAAAACCTCTTCACAATGAAGTGAAAGAGTATCTGCAAGATCTGCTTAACAAAGGTTGGATCACACCATCAAGGTCTCCCTACTCATCACCTGTGGTGTGCGTCCGCAAGAAAGATGGGGCCCTTCGGCTTTGTTGTGACTTTAGAGAGCTCAACCGCAAGTCAGTTCCAGACCGTCATCCGATACCAAGAATTCAAGACATGCTGGATGCACTGGGTTGGAGCTCTTGGTTTTCAGTGTTAGACCAAGGCAAGGCATACCACCAGGGTTTTTTGGAAGAGAGCCGCCCCTTGACTGCCTTTATCGCACCCTGGGGGGCTCTACCAATGGGTGCGCATTCCCTTTGGCCTGAGCTCCGCACCAGCTGAGTTCCAGAGGAGCATGGAACATTGTATGGCAGGTCTCGTTGACACTATTTGCCTCCCATACCTGGACGACAACCTGGTGCACAGCAGCAATTTTGAAGAGCACATCCGCCTTGTCCTACAGTGTTACATGGAGCATGGTGTTAAGCTGACTCCAAAGAAATGTGACCTGTTCAGGCGAAGTGTCAAGTTTTTGGGCAAGCTGGTTACAGGCCAAGGTTACACAATGGACCTAGCAGAGCTGGCCCCGGTGATGGCTTTAAAAGAAAAAAACACCTACAACCGTCGGAGAGGTATGTCAAATGTTTAGTTTCCTCTCTTATTATAAGCCTTTCATCGCCAACTTCTCCCGCGTAGCCCATCCACTCTATAGCTTGATTAGTCTTCTATTCTCTGAGAACTCTGCTTCAGTCCCAGCTGACAAGACTAAAAAGGGGTGAAGAAAAGTAAAGGCCACTTACCATCACGCTCACCCATTCAATGGACTAGCGCCCACCAAGAGACATTGAACCAGCTCGTAGATGCACTTACCAGACCTCCTGTCCTTGGGTACCCCGACTTTACAGAGCCCTTTGTGTTACATTGTGATGCATCGCAATACGAAGAGCGAGGCAACAGGCTACACCCCATATTACCTCATCTTCGGACGTTCCCCACGCCTGCCCATCGACCTGCTCTTCAATCTGAGGAAAGACGAAACTCATATGGACTATTATGACTATGTTAGCTGCTGGAAAAAGAGAATGCAGGAGGCCTACACAGTAGCTTCCGAAATGGCTACGAAGGAAGCTGCTCGAGGGAAAGCATACTATGACAGGAGAGTTAAAGGGAGAGATCTTCAGCCTGGTGACAGAGTTCTCCTCCGAAACCTCACTCCAAGAGGCGGACCTGCAAAGATCCAGTCTTATTAGGAGAACCAGATCTACAAAGTGATGGAGAGGAAAACAGATGACAGCCCAGTGTATTGGATCTGTCCTGAAACTGGTCAAGGGAGAGACAAGGTGGTGCACAGGAATCTCCTACTGCCCTGCAACTTCCTACAACTAGAAAATCCACCAATACAGACTGTTAAGCCCCGAAAAGATGCTCCAACAGTTACAAAGAAAAAGCTGAGACGTCCATGTGCACAGCAGCACCCAGGAAATGGTGACACATCAGATGATGATTACAGCGGGACATACCAGTGGTACCTCAAGAATGTTCCAGGGAGACAGAGGCAGACTTCACTCAACCCTTTGGCAGAGCCGTTCCAGCCTGAACCAATTCTTCATGTTCAAGAAGAAGATTTGCCTTTAAAGAACGAAGAGGATGTGCCACTACAGAGCGAAGAGGAACACCCTGACATTGTCCTTGGAAGGTCAGAGAGTGGTGAGGCAGTGATTGACATTTCAGCTGCCAACAAAGGTGAGACTGACTCTGTGAGACAGAGACCCCATAGACAAAGTCAAAAACCGCTTGTATTGAGTTATGACACTTTAGGTCAGCCGACCTTGGTTCAGAAGAACTGCAAGGTGACTAAGACTCAGGTTATTGAGAGTAATGCCTTCTGGAGACCATGGGCTGTGGGACTGTGTTAATGCTAAGGTTTAATGTACTATGTAACCAGAAATGTCAGGAGACATTTAATTTTGTGGGGGAGAGTGTGGCACTATGAAAGAGAACAAGGCATGAAAATAGTAGCCCCCCATTTTATTTGTTTGCTATAGATTACTTAAAGCCAGAAACTAGTGTTAGAATCTATTGTAACCTGTAATGTATGGGTTTCCCCATCAGAGGGTGCTCAGGTTGACGCTCTGGCAGGCTGAAGAAGTCCGCCGTTGCTGAGAAAACAGCCTGCAGCAGATATTAGGAGCAGCTACTGTAACTACTGTGCTTTTATGTTCACACGTAAACTGAGTCATAAATAATATATATAGATAACAACGCTAGTAGCCTCTGACAGGTACCGAATGGCAGAGCAAAGGTGCTTCAGTAGAACTAAACTGCCAAGCTGAATGTGAAGCCGGAGTTAGCACCAGGCTAAAGTAATGATGCTAATGGCTCGCGCTCGTGTGGGCTCGGTTGGGCAGCTTAATAGGGCCGCAAAATATTTTCTAAATATATGTATTGTTTGAGTTCAGTTAATGAAAGTATGTTGGAGTAGATGTACAGTGACGTCAATATGGAGTACGTCTGTTTACTGTTGTGCCACTTGTTGACTATTGTGTATAGAGGTTGACACTCTGGCAGGCTGAAGAAGTCCGCCGTTGCTGAGAAAACAGCCTGCAGCAGATATTAGGAGCAGCTACTGTAACCGCTGTGCTTTTCTGTTCACAGTTCAAACTAACTAAAAAAGCTACACCAGAAGTGACCCAGCCCATCATTTTCTGCGGTGTAACACACACAGTGGTAAAAATGGACTTGTCCCAACTTTTTTGTGATTTGTTGATGCCATGAAATTTGGAAACAACAGATTTTTCCCTTAAAATGATACATTCTCTAAGTTTAAACTTTTGATCTGTGACGTGTTCTATTCTGAATAAAATATTAGATGTTGGCACCTCCACATCATTGCATTCAGTTTTTATTCACAATTTTGTTTAGTGTCCCAACTTTTTTGGAATCCGGTTTGTACAGGTCCTTCTCAAAAAATTAGCATATTGTGATAAAGGTCATTATTTTCCATAATGTAATGATAAAAATGAAACTTTCATATATTTCAAATTCATTGCACACCAACTGAAATATTTCAGGTCTTTAATTGTTTTAATACTGATGATTATGGCATAAAGCTCATGAAAACCCAAAATGCCTGTCCCAAAAAATTAGCATTTCATGAAAAGGTTCTCTAAACAAGCTATTAACCTAACCATCTGAATCAACAACGTAACTCTAAACACCTGCAAAAGATTCCTGAGGCTTTTAAAAACTCCCAGCCTTGTTCATTACTCAAAACCGCAATCATGGGTAAGACTGCCGACCTGACTGCTGTCCAGAAGGCCATCTGAATAAAGAATTCAATAAAATGTTGTTTTTCTGACTATTTAACTTGCGATATAAAAGTGTTTAAAATGTTGTTTCTCTGACTATTTTAACTGGTGATATGAAGTGTTTTTTGGTAAGGGCAAAATTAGTCAGAAAACCAAAGGGTGGAATGAGTTGAGAGTCTAATAAAATGTTGTTTTTCTGACTATTTTAACCTGTGATATAAAGGTTTTTTTTTTTGCATGTTGTTGTGAGTTACCCAGAGGCCTGAGGAGGAGGCCCGGCCCGCCTCCTCTTGTACGCTATCTGGAGGTTTTGCTCACCCTAGCTTCTCACGCTCCCTCGTTATCTAGAGTTTTTTAAGCTTCTCACGCTCTCACGCTATCTCAAGGGTTTTTCACAGACTTTGAGTCCAGGTGGGCATGTTGCTGGGAGATGTTCCCATATAATGCAGAGAGTATTAAAGTGTGACACTCAGAATTAGAGTTGAAGTCTGCTGTGGATCCTGATCCGATGCACAGCTTGAATTGATGTTACCTTTTTACTTGGACTGAAACGGCTTCCCGGTCCGGTGTCTTACATCAATATCTGATTTGTACTGAATGTACTTGTACTTTTTGCTTTGCTGAATCTGTGGCAGTTTAATAAATGACACTTATTATCCTAGCAGAACCAGCTTGTGAGTTTTTATTCATTGCTTTGACCTTTCCCCGAACCTGTATTTTGTTTAAGATAATTTCATAGAACACCATCATTGACACCCTCAAGCAAGAGGGTAAGACACAGAAAGAAATTGCTGAACGAATAGGCTGTTCCCAGAGTGCTGTATCAAGGCACCTCAGTGGGAAGTCTGTGGGAAGGGAAAAGTGTGGCAGAAAACACTGCACAACGAGAAGAGGTGACCGGACCCTGAGGAGGATTGTGGAGAAGGGCTGATTCCAGACCTTGGGGGACCTGCGGAAGCAGTAGACTGAGTCTGGAGTAGAAACATCCAGAGCCACCGTGCACAGGCGTGTGCAGGAAATGGGCTACAGGTGCCGCATTCCCCAGGTCAAGCCACTTTTGAACCAGAAACAGCGGCAGAAGCGCCTGACCTGGGCTACAGAGAA